ATTTTTGTTTCCACAGTTTTTTTCGTGGTAGCTAGAGGGCGCTGTTTGACATCATAACAGATATTGCGCTTTTGCATAAAAAAATTAAATAGGAATAAATAAAAATGATATGGATGGAAATAAAAATTATATGGATGGATGATAATGTTACATAAACACGTTTAAATAATTATGACGTCATTGTTTTTAAGAAAACGCCCGAAATTCGGATGCATGAAAACTGAACTTAAACGGTTTGGTATTTTGACGTAACCAATTTACCTCTTTTTGTTTCCTAGCCTACTACTATACTTTTTAGACCATATAATCCTAAGCGGCAGCCTAACATGATTTGTTCTCTTAATATCTCCGGTTAGAAAGAAGATAGAAAGTTGCGGTTTGCGCTGATATTTTGGAAATTTTATGCTCTATTTAACTGTGCATAGGGAAATCTAGCCTCCTATTTAAAAATTTTACGCAAAAGCGCAATATCTGTTATGATGTCAAACAGCGCCCTCTAGCTACCACGAAAAAAATTGTAGAAACAAAATTTATACTGGAGATCATTAAGAAAGAAAAGCTCTTTTAAACGAGCCCTAGTTTGTTTAAATCGCATAACCTAAACCAGAGTTATCCTTATTTTAATAAAAGCAAATTTAACCTTCCCCCACCACTTTATTTTATAAGATAGAGCAAAATACTCTATATCAAAAAAATTACAAATTTCTCGATGATTACAATAGTAATATTTAAAATACCTGTTCACCTGCATATTTTTGAGAAAAACCCTGTTTTCTGATTCGTTATTAGAGAAACGCCCCCTAGCGGGCATTTTTTGAACTTGAAAATAATTTCCAGCGATTTCTCTTGGTGGATTTACTATTACAATTTTTTATTAAAAAACACAAACAGAATTGACATGTTTTTGAATTTTCTGAAAAAAAATTACCCTGGTCGTTATGCCTTGCGGAACGTTTTCGATGGGCCACACTGTATAAGTTTGCTCAGTTCTTATTTTTTATGTTTCCACTGCATTTTATATTTTTAGGCATAGTTTATTTGATAGTAAACCACGAAGTTACCTTGGTTGAGATAGCCGATTCAGTAATGACCGTATCAGAAATGGGCATTAATATACTGAAATATTTTCATATACGACGGCATCCTCAATCAATCAAAATAACAATGGAATGGTTAAACAGTCAAATTTTTAATGAATATCATCCAAGTCAAAGACAGATGGTGGTTAAGGCATCGATAATATGCAAGAAAATCTATTTATGGTTTGTTATTTCTTGCTGTGCTACCCTAAGCGCTTGGTCATTGAAATCACTCCTATCAATGCACAGAAAGTTTCCAGTGTCGATTTGGTTACCATTCGATCCGTTCCAAAACACCGCAGTGTACTATTTGACACATCTCCTGATATTTTTAGGTATTGTTACAGAGGCGGACTAAGCCTGTCGGGGGCCCGCACAGTGCTTCGTCCCATGGACAAAAATCGAAAAAAAATAGTTAAAATTTACTAATATCTGAATATGTAATTTTATACTTATAGCGATGTTCAACCATCCTATATATTATTTTCTATAAACAGCGTTTTTTGTTAGCAAATATTTTCACTAAAAATAAATTTTGCGATCATTATCTTAATTCAGTGAAAATCATAACATTCATAGTAGTTCTGTATATGGAGTTAAACGGTACGTACTTAATTGAAAGCCACTATGGATATTGTTAAACAAGGTATGTACTTAAATTTATTTCTAAACAGGTTCGTGATTGTTTAGTTTTTATTTATTTTTTAAGATGATTCTGAAATGGGTATAAAAAATTTACGTTTTCAAACTTCAAAAAGGCATTTAAAAGAACATATCAAAACATATCGTATTTATTGAATATTTTTGTTGTCATATTCATACACTTTTAAATTTTGTATAGTTCACCTGCGTCTGCTTGCGACGAACTTTATTTTATAATACTTTTCAGATAGAGTAAAATTGATCAGCAATGCCGATCTGGTTAATACTTGGCTTGATCATAAGCACAAGAACTCAAAATTATTTGTATTTCAAAAAATGTGTTCTTTATTAGATATTGATGAACCTTCCAGTCAAATGAGACACCACTTGTGCCTGAAAAAGCCCACTATGTTGGAGCGAAACGTCGCATAAAAAAAGTTTCCATCTTTCAATTTATTATAAAACCTCATACCCAAGAAAAGGAAAAAATAATATATGGATATGGTCTATTAAAGAGATAACTATTAACATCCAGACCCCTCATACCAACAAAAGAACAGTAACAACGAAAAAAGTAACATATTAGAAAATGATGTACAGAAATATCTTATATGTGAGGATATTTCATCTACCTGTGATTTGGATACTATAAATTTGGAAGATTCTGTCAGCAGTGATTCTTCTGAATCAGAGTAGTTACGATCTATGCATTTTGTTGTCCTAAAGTAAATTTATAGTATCTTAAGTTTTTTTTTAATTAAGTATATCATTAATGTTTCTTTTTCATTAAAGAAAAACATTTTTATCTTATATTAGGCTTATATTGTAGGAATCATGTTCTAATGTTATTTCAATTCTTTTTCACAGGGATTTAATTAATACTTACAATTAAATCACTGGGATTTATGGGATACTCCCAAGTATATACTTATAATTAAGGGATACTTATAATTATCCCAACTTTATATAGTTTATATATTTTGGGATACTTATAATTATCCCAATTACTTATAATTATAACCCAAGGGATACTTATAATTAAATCACAGGGATTTATTTAATACGAGTACTTACACCGTTTTCATACTATAAATTATAATTTCATTAGATGGAACACAGCTCCAACATTTTTTTATTTATAAATTATTTTTTCATAAACGTGGGACTAAGAACATCATCATTTAGTACAATGAGAGTACTCATCATTTGTGTCAAATAAACCTAGTTTGAATAAATTGCCTACAATAAAAGAGAAGTTTTGCATTTTTGTCCTCTAGAGCTATATGTTCGAAGCATTGTGGCCCTGGGCGGCAAAGCTAAATGTGGCCCCCGGTCTGTTTAGATCATGATATACTTCTAAAGCACATTTTCTAAAATGACGTATGTATAATGGTTGACAAAATTCAAGTATTTATACAGGGTGTACCAGGCTGAGCCTACGTTACAAGTCGGTACAGTATCATTGTTTCACAATGAGATATATCGATTAAAAATATTTTCAATATGACGGCACTTTCGGAAGTACCGGAAGTTGACAGCAACTTTGTTATTATAAATGGGCGACCCCATTTTTTATTACATACTTAAATTCTCTGTAAAATTTTATGAATTTTAATATTAAACACCCTATACCTAACGTTAACCGTTTTTGAGAAAAAAAAATATTTATAATTTTTCTAGGAAAAAACTGGCTATCAAAAATATGTATATAACCTAAACGTCAAATTTAGTGATTTCCACAGCCACTGTATCATAAAAAGAAGACATGTGGCTATCTGTGTCAAAAACTAAATTGTCCGAATGTCATATAATAATGGCCGCAGCTGTCATGGAATTGTGCGATAAAAAATTATCATAAATCATTTTTTTTTAAAATTGAAATCCACTTTTTTTATTTCACTCGTGAAAAGGCTTTTATTACTTTCGTTTTTAAAATTTGTTACTTTTTGACTATACATGTTCCTGTACCAAAAATAAATCGTTTTTAAGTTATCTAAGATTTAGCTCTAAAGCGTATATTTTTCTTGATTTTAACCAGCAGCCTTCTTCTTCTTCTTCTTTTAGAAGGCGTATCGCCTGTTTAGTTCCGGTTTCCTCCTCGTCTAAGCAACTCTTGCGAGGTTGACTGCCAACTGTCTTGCCAACGTTTAGGTGGTCGTCCAGTAGGTCTTCTGCCATGGGGTACGTTGTTGCGAATTATTATGGCCATTCTGTCGGGGCCCATTCTATTGACATGCTGGTTCCATTCTCTTCATCTCTGCCTTATCCATCTGACAACGTCGTTTGTTTGGCACTTTTCTCTTATGTCTACATTTCTCTGTCTGTCCCTCAATGTGTATCCGGTTATCATTCTTAAGGTCTTCGTTTCAGTAGTTCGTAGGATTCTCTTTGTTACTGATGTTTCAGCTCTGGTTTCCGCACCATATGTCATCACTGGTCGTATGCAGGTTTTGTATATTCTTGACTTACATTCTGTACTCAAATGTTTGTTTTTCCATATGGGATATTTAAGATGTCCTGATATTGCGGCAGCTTTATTGGCTTGTTTCCTTACTTCTTCTTCCAGGAATCCTGAGCTTGTAATTTTGCATCCGAGGTATTCGAATGACATTATCTGATCAATAGTTTTGTTTTTTATTACCAATTTGCACCGTAGAGGCTCCTTTGTAATGGTCATGCATTTGGTCTTATTTGTGGAAATTTGCATGTTAAGTTTTTCTGCCTGTCAGGCATTTTCATCAATCCATGATTGTGTTGAATAACAGAGGGCTGAGACTGTCGCCTTGGCGAATACCAGTTGTAGTTCGAAGATGCTGCGTTAAGGTAAAATTTGTTCTTATTTTGGTTGTTGTGTTTGTGTTTAAATCCTTGATAAGTTCTGTGAGTTCTTTCGAGACATTACTGCTTTCCAAGATGGTGATGATGTCTTTTAGTTGGACTCTATCAAAGGCCTTTGTCAAATCTATAAAACATACATAGGCTGGAGAGTTATATTCTAAGGATTTTTCAACTAGCTGCCTGAGTATGAATAGTGCATCGGTAGTTGATCGGTTTCTTCGGAATCCTTGTTGTTCCTCGCTTATTGACACTATTGAGGAGATTTTGTCCGCAATGATCTTAGTCAGAAGTTTTAGCGAGGTGCTCAGTAATGTTATTCCTCTATAGTTTGCTGGATCTGTTTATCTCCCTTTTTAAAAATGGGTATTGTTATACTTTGTTTCCATTCTTCTGGTATTTTCTTATGTTGTAATATAATGTTAAACAGTTTTGTGTATTCCTCTATGATAGCCGTGCCTGCGTTTTTATTAGCTCGTTTGGTATCTTATCTTGATTAGGAGATTTTCTATTTTTAAGTTTCCTTATTGTCTCTTCTACTTGCTTGTAAGTGATTTGCGCATGATCTTCTATATTATCTCTTTGGCTTGTCTCTTGTGCTTCCATTGGTTCATCTGTTTCTGCGTATAAGTCTCTGAAATATTTTTCCCACGTATCTTCTGCAATTGTTCTTTGTTGTATTGTTTCATTTGTTTCTCGTTTCAAACCCCTCAACATCTTCCAAATACGTTTTTGTGCTCCGTACATATCCGCCTCCATTTCGCTTCTAAATCGCTGCCAATATTCTTCTTTAATGTCTCGTACTCTATGATTAGTCCTGTTCCTTATTTCGGTATAGATATTTCGGTTCTCCGGTGTTGGAGATTTCTTGTATTGTAAGTATTTTTCCTTCTTTTCCCTTGTAATGTTCTTGTCTTCTAATGTAAACCAAGGTTTAATGTTCGGTCTTCTATTGTGTGATACAGTACGTGTTCCTAAAGCTTCTTTAGCACCTTTGCAAATGTTTTCTTTCAGTTTGTTCCAAGCTGTGTTAGGAGTATCAAACTGTGCTATGGGGTTAAGAGTGACATGTGTTTGGCCTCTGTTTGAATAAAGTTGTTTAGTGCTTTCGTGTTTCAGGGATTCTATATTGAATTTGTCAGTTTTTATCGATGGTCTTTTTTTGGATAGCGGCGCACCTATTCGTATCTTTCCTAGCACAAGTTTGTGATCTGTTCCAATGTTGGGTGAGGATAAGACTCTTATGTCTATTATTTGTTGAGGCAAGAAACTTCGATTGGTGATGATATAATCGATTATTGATTTATTGTTTCTATTGTCATAGAAGGTGTATTTGTGTTGTTCTTTATGGCGAAAATATGTGTTGTTTATTCTCAGTTCATTCTGTCCACAGAATTCGGTCAAAATTTCGCCATTTCTATTAGTTATATTCAGTTATATTCAGTTATTATAACCAGTAGCCTATGACAGTGTATTAGCGATCATCACTTCCAAGCTAACTTTGCGCTGTTTATTTTTCGATCGTACGGTATATTATTAAAATATCAACTATTAGATATCACTAAAGAACGAAAATAGGAGATATATTTATATAAATACACTTGTTAAACTTTTTAGCAGAAGTAGTTATAATATAAGAAATTCAAATAATTCATTTTCTGTTAGATGGAAATAAATTGTCTGACTGTTTGACACTTAATGAGAAAGGAAGCTAGATTAAAGCTAGAGAAAAATATACGTTTTTAAACTAAATCTTTAATAACTTAATAATGATTTATTTTAGGTATAGGAATATGTCTAGTTAAAACGTAACGAATTGGAAAGCCTTTTTACTAGTAAATTAAAAAAAGTGGGTTTCCATTTGAAAAAAAAATATTTATGATAATTTTTTAATCGCTCAATTCCATGACAGCTACCGCCATTATTACATGACATTTGAACAATTTAATTTTTGAAATAGATAGCCACATGTCTTTTCTTTATGTCACAGGGGCTGTGATAATCACTAAATTTGACTTTTAGGCCGTACAAATTTTCTTGGCAGGTACTTTTTTTCGTCCAAAAATTTTAAATATTTTTTTCTTAAAAATGCTTTCAGGGAAATACCGCGACAAAATATCGCGATTTTGTTAGTGCTCCAAGATCCGAGGGGCCTCTTCGCTGTCTCAGGCCCGTGGCCCCCGTTATACTAGACTTCACTGTTCATCATCAGCAATGAAGCTAGAATACAAGATATGCTGTGCATTGGTTGTAATTTAAAATGTTTATTCAGTAAAAAGAAATAATGAAACCATTGAAAAACAACTTAAAAGCTAAAATAAATAAATTCAGTCTCAAAATATATAAAAAATAATAATTATTTTATATTTTAAACAAAGAAAATTACCCCTTGATTGATTAATTTCCTAAATACAAAATGCCATTGACAATTACTGGGGCCTCATAATTGATAATTAAGTAAATATCTGCTTCCATTTATACTGTTTATAGTTCGCGTATACGTATGGTTTGCACAATCCACCTACAAACTGCTTTATAACTACTGCTTTATAACTACTGCTTTATAACTACTTTATAACACATATTGACTTGTTTGCCAGTTGAATAAAAAATTACTTATTAAGATTCGGAGACCTTAAAGACGGCGCCCGGGGCGCACCGCCCCTTCCGCCCCCCCCCCTCTCTTAATCCTCCACTGCTGTAGGTATATGTATACTGTTTACCGACCGACGCGACGTAAAGTTCCTACTTACAACTATAGAGAAATATTTCATTTCAACTTAAAACACGGTACATTTTTTGCCCTCCTCCGCTCGTCTGAAAGTTGAAAATTATTATAGCTCGCAAGAAGTCTAATTAAGCCGAACGCCTAGCAAGCAGGGGCGTAGATAGGTGTAAGCTATGGGGGTGGTACTATGATTAAGCCGCAAAAAAATCACCGTCGGAATTTTTTTGTCGAATTAAAACGACGGCGATTTTTTTGTCTTCAAAAATATATAAAAACAAATATAGATTTGTAAATAACATAAACAAAAATGAAACAACGACGTTTATTAGTTAATTTTCTATAAACTATAAATAAAAAACTCTAAACTATCAAAAAAAACTATAAAAACTATAAACTATAAATAAAACTACAAAACAAAATCAAGTTTTCTAGTACGCTGTTTGGAAAACCTATCAATAACAGCATCAACATTTATTTCAATATCTTTATGGATATTGATTAGAGTTAACCCCACTAATCTGTCCTGGTCAATAAGAACACTTTGTATGCTTTTAATTAGGTCGAACATATTATAAACGATAAATCAACATAATAAAAAGCATACAAAGTGTTCTTATATGTCGGATATTAATTTAAAAAAATCCTTTCATAGTCAATGACTATTTCAATTCTCGTATCTCGTTAAGCGTCAGGGGGGGTACTGTCCCCCAGTACCCCCCCCCCCCTTATCTACGTCCTTGCTAGCAAGTAAGTCGTGCAATATAATTTTAGGTGCAACAAACACGGTTTTTTGCAACTCTGCTCTTGACACCTTAATAACGGGCTTAATATATCAAGCGGCCGTTCAAGTGCGTATAATTAAGGACACGATGGCGAATTTGGAAGAGTTCGCCGAAGAAAAACTTGGCGCTGAGCACGAGACCTTGACGAGTTTCGAACGAGAAAATAGAGACACTTTGAAGGACAAATTAGTGTATGGGAAGATTTCGCAATGTGTTTATCGATATGGAATGATTAAAAAGTAAGTTCTCTTTGATCTAGAGATAAATGTAAAAATGTAATGACTATCTTATTGTCAAATTTGACAGCTGTCAAAAAAAATTCAAAGTTGTCCGATTTTGATAAAAATCTATATATAGGATGGCCACGGGCTAAAATGAAAAAAAAATTGAGCTGTCAAATTTGACAGCTGTCAAAAAAAATTCAAAGTTTTCCGATTTTGATTAAAATCGATATATAGGATGGCCATGGGCTAAAATGAAAGAAACAAATTTGAGCTGTCAAATTTGACAGCTGGCAAAAAAATTTCAAAGTTGTCCAATTTTGATAAAAATCGATATACCGGGTGTTTCAAAACAAATGCGAAAAACTTTAGGGGGTGATGCCTTGTTCAAAATAAAGGGTAGTTTGCTTTATAAACGTTGGGTCAAAAGTCAACCATTAGGGAGATATCGCGGTACAAAGATGGCGGAAAATTAATGATTTTATTTTTTATCTTGAAAACAAAGAGAGATAGACTAATGAAATTTTATGGAAGCATTACTGTTGTGAAAACACACTTTCTGGTAATTTTTTCACTTTTTTAAAATGAGTGGAAGGGGTTGAAATAAACTACCTCTATCATTCTTGTTATCGAAATTTAAAGAAAAATCTTATCAAACACATGCAAATGGATAGTTTAGTTTGTTTGGAAACTTTTTTATCTCTTGTGTTTCTTTGATAAAACTCACTGATTTGAAATTAAAAAATAAAATGTAAAGCATTACATGTCAGCACAAAAAACATTTTTAGATTAAGAATCTAGTGATAATAACGATAATAATAATCATCTAGATAATAACGTATTGCAGTAGATTAATGTCAAATAAAATAATATTAGGAACATCCTAAAAAGTAACAGCGGCCGACTAGATTTTTTCCTAAAAAAATTACAGCAGCCCACTAGATTCTTTATCAGAAAATGCTTTTTGTCCTGACATGTAATGCTTTACATTTTATTTTTTAATTTCAAATCGGTGAGTTTTATCAAAAAAATACAAGAAATAAAAAAGTTTCTAAACAAACTAAACTATCCAAATTAATTTTTTTGCATGTGTTTAATAAGATTTTTCTTTAAATTTCGTTAAGGAAGCTCCCTACCCCATTAGTCGGTTCTCATTTTATTTCTCACCTTTGGACTGTCAAATTTGACAGCTGTCGTTTTTTTTTAAGTTCTCCTTTTTTAATGAAAATCGATATACATACATATTATTAGGATGCCCGTAGGGAGTTATTTAAGAAAAAAATTGAGATTAAGTGTGTGGCACTGAGAAACCAGCATAACTAAAAAGTTGAAAATAAATTTTAGAAAAAAACTTTTTTAAAAACAAGCTTTTATTTAAATACACTAAAAAGAAAAAAATACACTTTTTCTTTAAAACTTTTATTATGAACTTACAACGTCATTACACAATTTTATATTATATAAAAGCTTGTCGCGAGATTTCTCTACATCGATAAACAAGTAAATTAACTAAATCCCGTGTCTACCCTGTCTCATTTTCAAAGTTTGTGTAGACCACTAGACAAGGAATTACAAGTTGTACCAGATTTTGATGAGTGCAACTGTACACTCGCGACAAGCTTTTATATCATATAAAACTGTGTAATGACGTTAGAAGTTCATAATAAAAGTTTTAAAGAAAAAGTTAATTTTTTTCTTTTTAGTGTATTTAAATAAAAGCTTGTTTTTAAAAAAGTTTTTTTCTAAAATTTATTATGAAATAATTTCCAAAGCATCTTTTTACGTAGAACTTAATTGTTTAAGTATAATTTTTTTAAAATTAATAATTTAAGAATTATCAACCAAAAAAACATTTTTATTTAGGACAATCTGTTTATTTTTAATAAACTAAAACGGCCTTAAAATTACCTTTCCAAAAATATAACACACTTGATATTTTGTTACAGTCGCCTTCGAAATACAGAATTTTTAAAAGTTCGCCACTTTTTTTAACTAATTAAATTTATTATTGTAGGTTTGTACTGGATATAGAAGATGCTTATTCTATAGCTATTTTTTTGCAATTTGGAATTAGTGTGTTACTAATCTGCGTACAGTGTTTCCAACTAACTCTGGCAAGTACACATATATATTTTATCGTTTTAAAATTTAAAAGATATGAGATTAGAACCATTGCATTGGGGTTACAACGGCAACATAGATATATATTTAGAATATGGTGTGACGCCAAACAGCAAAAATTGATACACATTTTAAGGACTGGTAGCACTCATGTAGCACTTCTAATCTAAGGTTTTATTCCCACTTTTTGCCATTATAGATGCCATAGTTTGCCATTATGTTCTAAAGGGGGATATTTGTGTTTGTAGAACAGAAATAAGTTATAAATAAGTTATTGGCGGAATTTTTTACTATTTTATCAAACTGTTCTATATTTTTTTTAAATTTAAGAAACCGATTATTACCCTAGCTTACCAACCTGGTTAACATTATTTACAACGGAATACAGCGTTAATATAATTAACTTAGTAAATAGTTATTTTTTGAATAAATATCTGACTAACAATATTTTTAGGTCGAGCCACTTTCCTATAGATTTCTGTACATAATAATCACTCTAATAACTACTACTTCAGAAGTTTTTATGTACTGTTATGCTGGATCACTAATATATAATGAGGTAAAAATTAAATATCAATTATTATACAGGGTTGTTCACCACATACGACACGGAGTATTGTATTTTGCTTGGAGTATTGTATTTGACTTGAAAACGTGGGATGTTGATCCGCGGTAGCACAAATGAACACTTGATTTAACTCCTGTTCTTCATTAATCAACACATCAGGCTTTTTGTGTTTTTGTGGGAACACGTACTCATGTGTTTCAAAATTATTAATAACTCTTGATACAGTAGGTAAAGATGGAATTGGCCTGTTTACAAAAGTTTGTGGAAAAATTGTATATTCCGATAAGACCTATTTTGGAAATACCATTTTACAATTTGAATTTTCTCACGAACTTCGTAAACATCCATTATTTTACTTACACGAGAACTGTCGCGAGAATCTATGTATTCGTTTAAACTATTAAAACACGAATAAATACAAATTCTGAAATATTCTTAGCTTTGTTCTGGTTCTTGTTATTACCGATTCTATACCTAGAACTCTGCAGCGCATGCGCAAATAAAATAATGTCTTCATATTTCCTTCTGCGCATACGCATCACAGTTCTAGGACGGTTCAGAATCGATAATAAGAGAAACCCGAAGTAAGCTCTTATCACATATCTACCTATTTTTATTTTATCGCATTTTTTCGCCTGCTTTTTATCCAGCGGACGGGTATACGCTAATTCGTCCGGTTCTGCCTATGTTACTACTACGGTGGTCCGGTCTGTATATTTTGTACTAAGATGATTTTATTGGATTTTCAAACCGACGTTTCGTCTTTGAGGTGACATTATCACCTTTCTTTCTAAATACGTCCCTGGATTTCATTTTTTATTGCGAAATTTAAGAGCTTCTAAGGTATTAAAATTAATGACATATTGTACTTATTCGAAAACATCATATTGTACAACAAAAAATGTATCAATGAGAATGTAAGATTTATTTTGACATAGTCTTACAAAGAGAGTCATAAAAAATAAAAAAAAAATCCAAATATTTGGTTTAGTCCAAAAATCTTCGGAGGGTTTTATAATTTTGAAATTTTTAAGGTGGAATCAGCATTAAATTGCACAACATTGCCTCCATTTTACTAACCGAAGCTCGATTCTCGGACACCTTGTCCTATCCAAGCTCTACACCATTTTATATTATGGTGCCAGACTAACTTTTATTTTAATAGATATCACCTTTCATCCCTAACAGAATTAAACATTTATATGGTAAATAATTAATAATATTTTTCAGACTTTGTTCTTTAATTCCGACCTATATATCACAAACTGGATTAATCTTGACCTTAAGAGTAAGCGAGCACTAATAACACTGATGGAATATGGAAAAAGACCTTTCGTTATAAGAGCTGGAAAATTGTTTGATTTATCTTTGGACACATTTGCTTTCGTAAGTATACAGTATAGTCACTAATCGCGGCCAGAGAATTGCACCAAGACATATAACAGTGCCGGATGCGATTACTCTTTTTATCATACCAGGCATCATCTTCTGTCTGTGTCATGTCACATAGACAGATGGCGTATGGGAGATGGCAGAGACAACCTCACCAAAAACCTAAATCTTATGGCGGGACTACGTCAAAGCGGATGCATGGTTAGATAGAAGACTATAACCGCTACTGGTCCGCATGCTAAATTCAAGAAGTTTTAAGCGTTGCTAGTGGTGTAAAGACAGAAAATAATATGATAATCAAAATAACAATTATTTATTGACTTTTTTAATGTCTCTCAGACACCGCTGCAGAGAAGCTAGCGCCCGGTTAGATTTGGATAGGATTTTCTACTGTTGCTCGGTCGGAGTCAAGGCCGCATTTATTATGGGCTTGATAATTAAGATAATCTTTTAGCATTTTTAATAGAAACCAAATTAATTGTTCCATATTTCAAAAATTACATTTTAGAAATATTTTATCACAAAATAGCTAGAATAAAGTATATTCTTTATTCTTCTATTTGTGTGACGACTTTTCTGTCATTACCCAAACAGAAAGAAAAAAGTATTCGTTGCTCAGGGTTAGAGGAGAGCTGGGTTCGTAGGTAAGGCTTCTGGCTTGTGGTGACTTTCTAAGGTTATTAAATATAAAAAATGATAATATTTAGGCTGCAAAGATTTTAATATTGATGTCAAGTATTTATATAGATATGGTCAAAGACAGTAAAAAGGGCGCCACGTACTTTGTTTATGAAAGAGGTAAAGTAAGAAACCAAAATGAAAAATATTTTATCACAAAATAGCTAGAATAAAGTAATCAACAGCAATAAGGGTCTATTATGTTTATCAAGAATAAAACTCAGAGATAACTGTCCTACCTTAAACATTTATTTAAAAAAAACGAACACAAGTACAGGTTAGTTTCAATTATCCCAATAAAACTGTAAGTTATTTTAAATAAATTCAAATTTAGTAACTGTATTCTTCTTTGTACTAACTGTAACTATACTACTTAATATAAAAACAGATGAAATTTATGTATGTATCAATACGATGATGTTTCGAAACATGTCGTGTACAAAAACCTTCAAGAATGAATACGTGTTAATAATTTTCATATAAAATATCATAACAAAGTAAAAGTATACTGCTTGAATCAAATTATAACTTATAACGTTAACTGAAATGTAATTTTGACTATAATATATGGGATAAATAGTAATAATTTACAGAGATATTAAACTGTTGTCTCAAAAATTGTAAAATAAAGGAGTACCATGTGTATCGAAATTAGGACTTGTAAACAGGTAGAAAGGTAGTCTCCAGACTAACAGAAGTGGAAGCAGATGACTCTGGCAGCAGGAGTCTTCGATATCAGTAGGAGAACAAATGTAAGGTCATGAATGCTGTCTTAAGGTCTACGTAGGTCCATACAAAATGAAAGTGGGTGAAATTTAAGCGGCATACAATTATTACTGTATCCATAGGATTACTGTGGTCATATAAATACTTATATTCATACAATTACTATGTACCATAGGGTTACTGTGTGGCCATGTAATTACTTAAATCCATATAGTTACTAAGGTCCTAATAATTACTTATCTCCGTATAATTACTGAAGTCCATATAATTACTTAGTTCCATAAAATTACTCTATAAATAAAAGATAGCTCTCAGAACATTTGTTTAAAATTACATCAGTATAGTCATCAGTATCTTCAAATATCTCTGCTTTGTTTGTTTCAGATTATGCGTCGATCTTACTCCTTACTTGCAATAATGCAGAATTACAAATATTAAACTAGAAAAACTAACTGTATATCTAGACGTTCTGATTCCTGGATTAAATATTATCACAGCTATTGTTACTGATATCACAATATAACACTGGATAAGATATTTACGAAAATGGTGTGCCTATCTATATCTATATATATATATATATATATATATATATATATATATATATATATATATATATATATATATATATATATATATATATATATATATATATATATATATATATATAGTGCTTTGCTTACGTACTTTATCAAACAAGTTACGCAAGTTACGCAATACACTTGTGCAATATTGCGTTGCACAATTGCATCATCCACTTAATCACGTTCTGTGCTATTGTCTAGCTATAAATTGAGTAATATAATATATATATTTTGTATTGGAAAAGTTTAGAATAAAAGTTTTCAGTAGCACCAATGTATAAGTAATATAAGTTTATTTCATACTGTATAGTAAAACACATTAATGGGCACCTTGCCCGATAGATCACCGAAGTTAAGCGACGTTAGACGATTGAACGGGTGACCGTTTGGATACTCTCTTGTGCTGTTGCTTCATTGCAAGGGTGTAAAACTCTTGCCATACAATGCTCATTCACGCCTTTTCAAGGCTGGAAACAAGAAGAGTGTACATTTGGGGTAATACCGCGCAGCGCGTTATTGTTTGTTTTGTTTTTGCGCGGTATTTCCCCGGGAGCCGTTTTTTACCTAAAAATTTATTTTAGCAAAAGTACTTACATTTTATTGGTGATCGCTTGCGATAACACTTATAGGTGCACTGATAAGTGGAAATAAAATCAAGCTGCTTTTAATAATCACTGACTATTCAACTACTAATTATCAACCGATTAAATTGCCGAAAAGATAGATGAAAAACCCATCTAGCACTAAAATGTTCGTTATTGATTAACGACTGCCGGCAATTATTCCAAACTTTTGGAGCAAACTTCATATGGCTTATGCAACACTTCCAGCCTTACATCTGTCTATTACTAGTTGTCGTTTTTTCTACAGCGGCGTGCGCGGGATTCCCCCGGTTTCCCCTACAATGACGTTGGATAATACTAAAACTAACATCTCTGTGAATGTTTATGATTTAGCAGATTTTAATAGTGTTCAAGATAGTTTAGTGTTTCTATTTAGTACTTTCTTTGTTACTTTACCGTATATTTTTTAATTAAAAAACTAGACACTTCTAAAAAAACGTATTTATTCAATAACTTCATGGCAACTGAAGTTATTGTCATGCTTTCTAAGAAATGATACATTCCTTAATATTCTAATCCTCATAATATTAGTGCGTGCAACTTCAGTCTTTCTTATAATGCACAGTATGTAGCATCTGAAAATAAAATAAATATACTCTTTCAAATATCTGTGTTTATTTGTAATGCTAGATTATAAAATTAGGTATACCGGGTGTTTTTCAAAAGTGGCTTACCCCTATAACTTTTTTATTTTTTCAGACAAAAAACGAGATTTGGCATTTTACTATGACATAAATCTTTGAATAAGAAGACTAAGGAAGGAGCATAATGCTATCCATGTATTCATGCATGGTGGGCGGAAAAATCACCATAAAAGCACTCTAGGGTGGGGATCCTTGACAGTTCTGTTTGACGATTCTTTGACACATTTCAATTTGATTTGAAATTTTGTGGATTTATCAGTCTTCACGGAGCTTATTTTATGTTATTTATTATTTATTCTACTACTGATAGTTGTATAAAGGTAGCAAATCTAGATGGAAATTGTGGCAGAACTTAAATTAACAGTGAGACTATCGCGATTTATCGAAAAAGATTCTAAAATAGTTGGTTGTGTAGCGTGCGGTAGATCTCGGCAAAAATTGAGTGATATAATGGAACAACTTTTCGCTAGTAAGTGACCGATCATTTAAGAAATTCACTTAAATTAACTAAATTATATATTTTTCTTGCATTTTAGCTTTTATTTATTACTTGTCGAAGATTAGATGTCAAAGAATTTAAATACGTTAATTTGACTTACCTGCTTCAGTAGCGTATCGGATGTTTGTGTTAATAAATCCTTATTATAACTTATCTATTTTTATTAGAATTATATATTTTTATAACAATTTTAATAACTACCAACATTTATTCACAACGTAAAATAAAAAAACAAATTATTGAGTCAACCCCACGTCTACACTACATCATAGTTTTACATTTTTTAAATAAAATTAGAACGACACTGATAAACCGGAATTTAACTCGGCCATATTTGAGGCCCATCGCGGTGTACCTAAGATTTTTGATATGCTCCTTCCTTAGTCTTCTTATTCAAAGGACATAAATTAGGATTGATTGGCGTATTCAATTGTTTTCTTTCACTTTCTGTTTTACCGGAAATGAATATAACTTTTCCTTACCGCTTGTCATGGATAAGATCCAATCTAAGAAATACGTCACTCTAGTATTAATTCCTGGATAGCCAAAGGCGCAGCCGCGACCATGAGAAATAATACCAACTAAGAACATGCGTCCAATTGATGGATTTGTCCAAAGCAGCGGACCACCAGAGTCAGATTGACAGGAATCTCTACCTAAGTAAAAAAAAGTATAAAAAAATACTTTAGTAGGTATCGATATTATGGAATATCATAATATCCACATGTATTAATATCTAATAATTAAGATACCAGTGATAGTAAACAAGAAAGGTGAGTCAGTGAAGTCTTTGTAGGCTTTAGAAAAAAGTTTGTTTCGAAGTAATAGTTTAAGTGTCAAAGTGTTATTAGAACAAAATTTTGATAGTCTCAGCAGCCTTTTTGATTATTTAATTGTCTATATTGGAAATGCCTCTATTTACATGTACACACGCAAGGCTATATAAATAGAGTGGTATCCACCCGTGAAAAAGTTGAGTTCAGTCAAGCGTGAGGTTGTCCACTGAGAATGCCCACAATGGTGCGTGTTATAAGATATACAGGGTGTCTCAGATTTTAATTGAGAAAATTTAATAGACGATAGAACTTGCAAAAATAAAACAAAAAGTTCATATCAACTTGTAAGATTTAAAGCTTCCTTTTCGAGATACCAGTGATAGTAAACGTTACTTAAAAAAGAAAAAAAAATAAGATATTTGAAAAACTATTTAATCGATTTGGATATAACTTGACCCGTTTATAATACTTACTATGGGACTTAATTTGATGTAATTAGATTTAAGTTTAATGGCTAGGGGCGGCACTAGGGTATCACTGTTTAATTATTTTAAAGGAAAAAATAGACACGGCACTACTTTTTTAGAAGTTTGATATTATTTTTGGATTTAGTAATTAAAAATATTATTTTTGTGTCTCCTGACTTTTTTGTCTATCTTGCTTACTTCTTGCGAAAAAAATTAAATTCTAATTGGTCATTAATATTATAATTGGTATTCTAATGGTACCCTGTATCTCGAAAAGGAAGCTTTAAATCTTACAAGTTGATATGAACTTTTTGTGTTATTTTTGCAAGTTCTATCGTCTATTAAATTTTCCCGATTAAAATCTGAGACACCCTGTTTACATCATGAATATTTCTATACTAGGATTAATATGGATGGTACCTAGTTTTTTTGTTATAAAAATGGCTTCTTTAAATTTAGGATGATGATGTTTTTATTTTTTTACTATTTCCAAATGGAATTAAAATTTAGTTTTTTCCAATATTTTAAAGTAAGGAAAAATTTACCAATCTACAATAAAAAATCAAACTTACCTGACGTGTAAGTGCATATCTCATTATTATTTATCGTTTCATCGACTAAATAATTACATTGAGCATTCGATATAACATCTAAATTTGCTTTCTGTAATGTATCAGATGTAGGACCCGAAAATTCTATTTGACCCCAACCTAAAATTTTATTATTTTCTTTTAATCCTAGATCATATATAATTACGTGGATAAATCAACGCCATAAGATTAGCATTAAAAAATATGTCTCCAACTTCACGACATGCCATTTTCAAACCTTCTTTAGTGCACTTATGAAACGTCCAATAGGTTTGTCTTTCTCGAGGACCTTAATTTGCCTCCCCCCCCCCCTCATGCGCATTAAAAGTTGCATATATTTCCAAAACAATCACAATTTTGTACGGTTTAAGACATTTTTTCTGAATATTTGTATTTATTTTTCAACATAGTCCCCTTGTAACTCTACACACTTTTCCCAGCGATGCTGCCATCTCTGTATCCCGTCCAAATAGTACTCGGCGTTTTTCTCTGCAAAATAATGCTTCACGAAGGTGATTGCCTCTTCATTTGACGAAAATATCTGTCCTCAGAGCGCAATTTTTAAATGAGGGAACAAAAAGAAGTCGCTAGGGGCTAGATCTGGTGAGTAAGGCGGATGGTCAGTTCAAACCGTAATTCGTCGATTTTCGCCATGTCAACCACTGAGGTGCGAGACTGTGCGTTATCTTGACGAAACAGGATTTTCTTTTTCTGGTAAATTTGGCCGTTTTTCCGCAAGTTCTGCTTTTAGCTTGTCAAGTAATGATGCGTAGTGTGCTCCTGTGATGGTTTTTCCTTTTTGAAGATAATCAATTAAAATAACTCCATGACTATCCCAAGAAACAGTCGCCATCACTTTCCCAGCCGAAATAACAGTTTTTGCTTTTTTTGGAGCCAGTTCTCCCCTTGCCGTCCACTGTTTGGGCTGTATTTTTGTTTCTGGTGTGTAGTGGTGTATCCAAGTTTCATCTACAGTAATTAATCGACGCCAAAACTCGGACTTATTGCGCCTAAAATGCGCCAACATAGCGTTGGAAATGTTCAGTCGAACACGCTTTTGATCTAACGTGAGCAAACGCGGCACCCAACGCGCGGACAGCTTTCTCATGCCTAAATCTTGATTTAATATGTGACAAACACGTTCTTTTGATATGTTAATAATCTCTGCTATCTCTCTCACTTTAATTCGGCGGTCGTCTAGCACCATTTGGTGAACTTTGGCGATATTATCTTCGGTAGTTGCCGTTTTTGGACGTCCCGAACGTTCATCGTCTCCCAAGCTCTTACGGCCACGTTTAAATTCAGCTGCCCAAAATTTCACTGTGGTAAATGATGGTGAAGCAGACCCCATACACAGAATCCAACTCATGTTTAATTTGTGTAGGCGTATTGCCTTTCAAAACTAGATATTTAATGACAGCTCGATACTCGATTTTGTCCATTTTCGCAAAAACACTCACATCAACTCACTCAAACGGCTGTTACATAACAACTGCGCATCCAAAATGGCTGAAATTTTGGTGAATAACTGTCAACAGATGAACAACGAAAATTCACTAGCTTTTACCTACGAGTGCTGCCATCTTCAGGTTGAGGACGGAAACTTTTCAGACCATCATATCATTAAAAGAAAGAAAGCATTTTATTAGAATAATAAAGACCTATATATCTAGCATTTTAAATACACATCTGAAAATGCCCAACTACGATAAAACTGTCATATTAACAAAAGAAATTTGGCATTTAAATATGTTTTTTTGATACTAAACAAGACAAAAACTAACAATATATAAATATTTTTTTGGTAATTTTTGCGATTAAAAAAGTTCCGTGTAGAAAATAATTAACTGAGACCAGAATATGATATTTATTGCTTAATAACTCACCTAAAATTGTTACCTGTTGTCCACTGAAATCTGTGGTGTAATAATAAAATGGTAAGCATATGGGCGCTACATAAGTACTGGTGATAATTTGAGATGATGTCTGTATAATTCCTACATCATTTTCATATGTGCTGAAATTGTAACTTGGATGTATAACGTAGCCGTTGATTAAGTAGAGTGCCGCATATGGTGTGTCAGTTCCTAAAACATTTTATTATACAGGGTGGGCCACTGAAAACTTACAATGGCTATAATTTTTAAACCAAAAAGGATATCAAAAAAATAAAAAATACCGTTTCTATGATATCGAAGGGGAATACAGTACGTCTGCTGGATCTGTGTCTATGAAAGGAATGCGGACAAAAAACATTTAAATAAACAACAATATATTTTATTCGTCGACTTGACGAGTACGTCACCGCAAATCGCTCCGCCCACTCATTTTATTGGCTACTTGCAAATTTGTCGAATTTTTATTGATGAGACGCGTCGTCTAATTTTTTACGAAAAACATCGAGAGAATATCGTTTCCCCTCTCACGGATACCCCGTAGCTATAGAACGGACAGACAAACTGTACATATGACGTATTTTTTGAACCACCCCGACCTACCCCTACTCACTTGAAAATCTTAAATGGCAATACCCCACTTGTGGCGCCTTTTTGGAAGGCCCATGAAAAATGCTAAACGGTGATCATAAAGTCTTTAAGGTGATATTGAAAAACTACCCCTTACACGAAAAATTAGGTGGACATTAACGAAAAAAAGTAATTTTTTCGGCATAAGTTACAATTTGGGACCCAGCTAAATGAGGCAAATGAGGCATTTTTTAAACCACCCCGACCCACCCCTAGGTGCCATCCCCTCACTTCTAATCTCATCAATGCCATTTTGAAGCTAAAAATAAAAAATGTAGATAATAAAAAAGGTAACACAAAGATGTTTTACTAATCGTTCAGCCTAATTTTGCGATAGCGCAAATTCTCCCTCTTATTCATCTATTTTTTTACTTCCAACAAACAGGAATCTTAAACCGGCATCTTTGCGTTTTTGCACTGTCTTCTATCGATTTTCAATCGTTTGCAAATTTGGTGGTATTTTAAACGTTTATTTGATTCGCTTATTTGAAAGAAAAATGGTTTATACTGTGGAAGAAAGAATTCAAATAGTTTTCCTTTATGGTGCTGAAGGTATGTGCTATTTGAAGCCCGTGCTTTCAATGAGAGAAATCCGGACAAAAACGTAAGTCACGTTTATGTTAGAGATTTGATTTTGGAAGTTTCAAGAAACTGGGTCGGTCAAAAATAAAACAAGGACAGGGTCCAGGGTACTGAATGAAGAAATGCAGATGGAAGTTATTGGTCAGGTATCGGTGAATCCAGAAGCATCAACACGCGAGTTGGCATCAATCACAGGTATACCTCAAACATCTCTCAGGAGAGTATTGAAAATGCACAAATTCCATCCCTACAAAATGAAGATTCTGCAGGAACTTGGCGACGACGATCCAGATAGAAGGATTCAGTTCTGTGAACTAATGACGGAGCAAATTCGAAGGGAACCTTCACTTACTAAAAATATTTGTTTTAGTGATGAGTGCTCATTTTTTTTAAACGGAATTGTGAATAAGCAGAACTGCAGATACTGGAGCGATGAGAATCTGCATATTGTTGTTGAAGGACACACCCAACATCTCCAAAAGCTCAATGTTTGGTGCGGAATACTAGGCGATCAAATTATAGGTCCATTTTTCATCGACGGAAATGTGGAACGGACATGCGGAACGACGGACATGCTTATGTGGAAATGCTGAACAATTTGATAGAGCCAGCCATTGTAAATGAGGTTGAAAATCAAAGAGATTTGGAAGGAAATTTAACTCTTAATGAAGACCTCATACACTTTCAGCAAGATGGAGCCCCTCCGCATTATTCTATTGTCACAAGGCGGTGGTTGGATAAATATTATCCAAGGCAATGGATTGGCAGAAGGGGTCCAATCGAATGGCCGCCAAGGTCACCTGATCTCACTCCTTTAGACTTTTTCTTGTGGGGTTACACTAAATCCATAGTCTACAAGACAAAACCAGGTTCGTTGCAAGAATTGCGGCAGAGGAGAACTGAAGCATATCGAAATATTCCGAGAGAGACTTTCCAAAAAGTGAGAGAAGAATTTGAAAATCGTTTGTATTTTTGTATGGAACAAAACGGCTGCCATTTTGAGCAATTGTTAAAATAAATTATCATTTTAAATTTCTTTCAAATTGTCACACCTACATTTCTTGTCACTAACCAGTAATTAAGTTGAAGTCTGAAAAAATCACCTTTTTCATTAATGTCCACCTAATTTTTCGTGTAAGGTGTAGTTTTTCAATTTCACCCTAAAAACTTTATGATCATCGTTTAGCATTTTTCATGGGCTTTCCAAAAAGGCGCCACAAGTGGGGTGTTGCCATTTAAGATTTTCAAGTGAGTTGGGGTGCCGCCTAAGGGGTAGGTCGGGGTGGTTCAAAAAATATGTCATATGTATTCCCCCTCGATATTATAGAAACGGCATTTTTTATTTTTTTGACATCTTTTTTGGTTTAAAAATTATAGCCATTGTAAGTTTTCAGTGGCCCACCCTGTATAGAGTGTGTCCTATAATTCAATGGAAATAGGTTACTACCCTCACGGGTACGCCAAACGGATACCTTGAAATTTAAATTTTGGTCTATTTTAAAGTTTAATATATTTTGTTTTAGTGGGCTGATTTCGATGATTTTTCAAGCAATATGTAGCTAAATTATTTGACTTTAAATTAAAAATAAAAGTTCCCCAACAAAATGTTTATGAAAGTTTAAAACACCCAGTGGGAATATGTTAAGATACCAAGGGATTTACAAATAATTTTATGTTCTAGATACATTCTTTTGCGATAGTTTGTTTTTTGGTTCGTCTCAATAGTTTTAGTTTTGTTGGAGATATTCGCTGTTGAAGAAGACACTAACATTTTTTTCATAATTTTTACATTAAAACCATGCCCTTGAGCTTCATTTCATAGCCAACGCTGACGCGGTTTTTTTTCGGCCATATTTTATAAAGAAATGACTATTTGAAGCTGATAATTTTTACCTGTAGATATATTATGATCACCAACTAGTACAGCTATATTTCTTGCTGAAATTCCATAGACGCAATGAGCTGCCGTTAGTAGATACCTGTCCGAAATAATTGTACTCCCACAGTACAGAGCACCAGTATCCACTTGAACTAAACCTGCCATTGCGGGAAATTCATGAACTCCCGTCTCTTCGCCGTTAACTATATTGAGGAACTAAAACAGAATGCAATGTGTCCCGATTAGTTGATGTATTGTGGACGAGAACAATCTCGGGTAACTGAATACTCGGACAATCGGAAATTTATTAGGAAATACAACACACAGGAACCAAAAGAATTTCGGACTTCCATTGTCTTTATTTATTTTCGATTACACAACGTTTCGGTCAGAAGTATGACTGACCGTAATCAAGTGTGAATTAAACTAAATCCTAGAACTAGAGCTTGTATAACTCTGAGCTTATACAGGGTGGGCCACTGAAAACTTACAATGGCTATAATTCTTAAACCAAAAAAGATATCAAAAAAATAAAAAATACCGTTTCTATAATATCGAGGGGGAATACATATGACGTATTTTTTGAACCACCCCGACCTACCCCTTAGGCGGCATCCCTACTCACTTGAAAGTCTTAAATACACCCCAATTGTGGCGCCTTTTTGGAAAGCCCATGAAAAATGCTAAACGATGATCATAAGGTTTTTAGGGTAAAATTGAAAAACTACTCCTTACACGAAACATTAGGTGGACATTAATGAAAAAAGTGATTTTTTCAGCATAAGTTACAAATTGGGACCCAGCTTAATGAGGCAAATGAGGTATTTTTCAAACCACCCCGACCCACCCCTAGGTACCACCCACTCATTTCTAATCTCAAGATAGCGATACCCCACTTGTGACACTTCTTTGGAAAGCTAATTGAATTGCATTGCTAAACGATGGTCATACAGATTTCAACTTCTGTCTTCTTTCAACAATTACTGGTCAGTAGTGATAAGAAATGTAGGTTTGACAATTTGAAAGAAATTAAAAATGATAATTTATTTTAACAATTGCTCAAAATGACAGCCGTTTTGTTCCATACAAAAATACAAACGATTTTCAAATTCTTCTCTCACTTTTTGGAAAATCTCTCTCGGAATATTTCGACATGCTTCAGTTATCCTCTGCCGCAATTCTTGCAACGAACCTGGTTTTGTCTTGTAGACTATGGATTTAGTGTAACCCCACAAGAAAAAGTCTAAAGGAGTGGGATCAGGTGACCTTGGTGGCTACTCGATTGGACCCCTTCTGCCAATCCATTGCCTTGGATAATATCTATCCAACCACCGCCTTGTGACAATAGAATAATGCGGAGGGGCTCCATCTTGCTGAAAGTGTATGAGGTCTTCATTAAGAGTTAAATTTCCTTCCAAATCTCTTTGATTTTTAACCTCATTTACAATGGCTGGCTCTATCAAATTGTTCAGCATTTCCACATAAGCATCACCAGTCAAATTTCCGTCGATGAAAAATGGATCTATAATTTTATCGCCTAGTATTCCGCACCAAACATTGAGCTTTTGGGGATGTTGGGTGTGTCCTTCAACAACAATATGCGGATTTTCATCGCTCCAGTATCTGCAGTTCTGCTTAGTCACAATTCCGTTTAAAAAAAAGGAGCACTCATCACTAAAACAAATATTTTTAGTAAGTGAAGGTTCCCTTCGAATTTCCTCCGTCATTAGTTCACAGAACTGAATCCTTCTATCTGGATCGTCGTCGCCAAGTTCCTGCAGAATCTTCATTTTGTAGGGATGGAATTTGTGCATTTTCAATACTCTCCTGACAGATGTTCGAGGTATACCTGTGATTGATGCCAACTGGCGTGTTGATGCTTCTGGATTGACCGATACCTGACCAATAACTTCCATCTGCATTTCTTCATTCAGTACCCTGGACCCTGTCCTTGTTTTATTTTTAACCAACCCAGTTTCTTGAAACTTTAAAATCAAATCTCTAACATAAACGTGACTTACGTTTATGTCGGGATTTCTCTTATTGAAAGCACGGGCCGTTCTCAAATAACACATACCTTCAGCACCATAAAGAAAAACTATTTGAATTCTTTCTTCCACAATGTAAACCATTTTTCTTTCAAATAAGCGAATCAAATAAACGTTTAAAATAACACCAAATTTGCAAACGATTGGAAATCGATAGAAGACAGTACAAAAACGCAAAGATATGTCGGTTTAAGATTCTTGTTTGTTGAAAGTAAAAAAATAGATGATAAGGAAGAATTTGCGTTATCGCAAAATTAGGCTGTAAAAACATCTTTGTGTTACCTTTTTTATTATGTACATTTAAAAATGGCATTGATGAGATTAGAAGTGAGGGGATGGCACCTAGGGGTGGGTCGGGGTGGTTTAAAAAATGCCTCATTTGCCTCATTTAGCTGGGTCCCAAATTGTAACTTATGCTGAAAAAATTACTTTTTTCATTTATGTCCACCTAATTTTTCGTGTAAAGGGTAGTTTTTCAATTTCACCCTAAAAACGTTATGATCGTCGCTTAGCATTTTTCATGGGCTTTCCAAAAGGGTGCCACAAGTGGGGTATTGCCATTTTTAAGATTTTCAAGTGAGTAGGGGTGCCGCCTAAGGGGTAGGTGGGGCTTCAAAAAATACGTCATATGTATTCCCCTTCGATATCATAGAAACGGTATTTTTTATTTTTTTGATATCTTTTTTGGTTTAAAAATTATAGCCATTGTAAGTTTTCAGTGGCCCACCCTGTATAATAGAGCCGAGCACTCACCCGTTAATTATTTGGGTGCAGTCAAGCATGATGTTTTCCACTAAGATTAACTGCATTGGAGCGTTTTATGAGTGGTTGCAATATTGTTTTTAATTTTTAAAGATTTTATTATTGATAGAAATAAATACGGCCTTTCCAATGCAGGTAATTGGAAAGGCCGTATTTATTTCTAACAATAATAAAATCTTTAAAAATTAAAAACAATATTGCAACCACTCATAAAACGCTCCAATGCAGTTATTATTATATAATCAATGCAGTTATCTTATTGGAGAACCTCATGTTTGACTGCACCCAACTAATTCAGGTGTGATAAGTTATTTTACCGACGGCAGAGACGGAGATGTACGTGAAGCTTTTTTTGTTGGTTCTACAAATATTATTACGAGTAAAAAGCCACTAAATAGGTTAAATAGATTCAGTTCGGGTTCTACTCACTGGCATTTAAAAAAATAATATTTTATTTTATAGATTTCATTTTTGTTTCAGTAGCGAGATTTCCAATATTTTTTCAAGGAACATGTTGGAAACAGTAAAAAGCAATACTTCTTACCTCTGTATTTCTCCATCCACAATCACAGGCGGCAAGTGTGGCTCTATTACTACTGGAGGCATTTACATTAAATGGATTATTGTATCGAAAAGTGCCCACAGTTCTAAACTTTGATTTGTCAATTTTGATACAGGAAGTGTCTTTTAATATCCAAATTAAAAATATGGCCAAAATATCTAAAAATGTATCATGTATCTATTAAAGTGTACCGGGTGTTTTTTCAGATAAAAAATCGATATTTGGTATATTAGTATATGACAAAAATCAGTATTGACTGAGGTAGGTATTCAATTAGTTTTGGTCACTTCTGAATAGAATTATATTATATAACTAGTGTGTACCAGCGACTTCGTTCGCGTCGAATTAATCATTTGTAATGGTGATGATAAAGCAAAGCAAGAATTTCCATTAACATACAAACTGGATAAAATTTTCTCACATTTATGTCAGCATGAGAAAAAACAATATGGCGATATTATTATATAACTTGGTAATATTTGAGGGTTTGTTTCATCTAGTTGGAATTCGACTTTCGAAAAATCCGTTTGCCAAAAATAATATTTTTACGTCAAGCAGTTTAAGCAGAATCGTGATTACTCAATGGGCATATTTTATGAAACACCCTGTATAAATTTATAAAAAATCTTAAATTATGTAAAACAACAAAATAAAATATACGTGTTTAAGAGTTTCTCCGAAAAACTCACCGGTTTTTAAATAAAAAATATTTTAATATCTGAGGGATAGTTTCACCCCCTTAGAATTCGAGTTTCGAAAAATCCCTTCTTATCGAACCTCTACACCCTAAAGTCAATCTGTTTTCCAAAAATCAGCTTTTTACGTCAAGCGCTTTAAGCAGCATCGTGATTAATCAATGAGCAGATTTTTTGTATACATTTTGTGTAACACCCTGTATACATTTTTAAAAAAGCTTAAAATATGTAAGAAAACAAAATAAAATATACGTGTTTAAGCGTTTTTTCGGAAACTTAACCGTTTTTTAAATAAAATATATTTTAAAATTTGAGGGGTGGCTTCACCCTCTTGGAACCGGAATTTTGAAAAATCCCTTCTTATCGAACCTCTACACGCTAGAATCAACCTGTATGCCAAAATTGAGCTTCTTACGTTGAGTGGTTTGAGCAGGATCGTGATTAATCAGTATGTCAGTCACTTAAGGATTTTATATATTAGTATAGATAATATCTCAACTTTTGGCATTTTTTCTTGAAAAAATTGTGTTTTAAATTCCCAAATGTCCCCGAATTGTCTTTACAAGACGAGAAACTTTTTTCTCAATAACATTTTGAGAAAAATGCATTATTCATAAAAAAATTACTTATTCAAAAATTGTTAATTCCGTTTTTACTTTTCTAAATTTTCATAGCGTCATTATTAAACAAAGTACAAAAAGCAAAAATAAGGTATAATCCCTGCATGTATGCTATTGTCAGCATTAAGTTTATCAGACTGAAGGAAAGCCATTCGACGACCGGTTTCGGAGATTTATCTCCATCGTCAGGCAAACTAACGGCAGAAAATAGCATTTGAGCATAGTAGAAGAAAAAGAGTAGTTGCACTCTCCCAAATATTTTCTGCCAGTTTTTACAATCTGTCGAAAATCGGCAGATTGCAGAGCGTTTCAGTTGAGTTCCGTCCGTCGACCTGCGAGGTTCGAGCGTTGCGTCCCAGCACAGAGACGGTTTGACAAAAAATGAGTGCCTTACTGTGTGCTGCTACCGTATGATCGAGAAAAAACGGCGTCAACGGTGGCTATGCAATGAAGATCGCTGTCATTTTATATCTAAATTTATATGGGAAATGTCATCGATCGTCATTTCCCAGCCAACTGGACGCCATTTTTTTTCGATCATACGGTATTAGTTATAGTAATAATTCAAAAAATTGTGCTTTGAGTTTTTTTTGAGAGTCATTTGTGTTCAGTCTAATTTTCTCATGACTGATTACTACTTAATAATTTGATATTATTTTCATTTAAACCTCAATTTTTGATCGATTTTACTTTTGACAACCATCCTTTGCTTGCTGTTTAACGAACTGCACCATCATTGAACAAAAATTTGCTAGTACCGAAAAAAAACCTGGAAATCCCGGTTCCTTAGAGGCATGGTACCGAAATTACCGGTTCCGAAATACAGCTCCGGTTCCGGAAACGCTATAACGTACCATAACCGTGAATCGCCCTATACAGGGTGAGTCTTAAATAAGTGCAAATATTTTTTGGGGTAGTATATTTTGGCCCCATTAATACAAGGATTTTTCTGCGCAATTTTTTTCTGAGAAAAATATATGGAATTTTTTTAGTTTTTAGTTAAAAATCATAATTTCTTGATAATATGGTAACTAAGGTTCAGAACCGGTAATTTCCGGTTATTTTGACATATCAAAGAATCGGGACTCTAAATTATTAATTCCCGGTTCTTTCGATACCTTCGGGACTCGGTAACAATAAATAAAAAATTATTTTTTTATCTCATTGTTCTTGCTTCTTTTCTCTTTTGAAATTTCTGAAATGTTTATTAGCAATTATTGAAGTTTAAATATGTTATTTTATTATTTAGTACAATGAATGTGTTGTTCAATGTATTAGTTATCCAATGAAAATCACCTAACCAATATATTACTACAAAACAAACATATTAATGTTAAAATGAAACTTGTTTTAAATTAAAAACAAGTTGTAGAAAATCTTTAAAATAGATAATAATATAAAAATATGTCATTATATATTTTTCCGCATTTCTTCCCATCAGAAGATTTTCAGATACAGAAAAATTGTTACTGACACAAAATGTGTGAACTCATATTTTCCCAAATACATCTCTGTGAAACTATGTCGTCTGCCACGACTATACTTTGCCTAGTTATAGACAAGTAGCAAAAAGAAATTCTAAAAGGATTGAATTATTTTATAACAGTCGAATAGCGTTGTCTTAAGGACTGCTTGATTTTATTAAGCGTTTGGTTTCGACCATTCTGTTTTTTAATAAAATTTGTCATATTAAACTTTATTTAAAAAAATTATTTTCTAGTGGTTTTTACAACGTATCCTACGCATTAAACGATAATTTCTTTTAGTATGATATAACACTTAATAAGACAATGCTATATGATAACAAACATATTATTTTATTAGGCTCTTATACCCACCATGTAAGAGTTCTATAATATTCATATAACTAGTAGTCACAAAATCATATTTTATATTTATATATATATATATATATATATATATATATATATATGATCATATAGTAGTCACAAGATAATATATATATATATAATGTTATAGTTACTTAAACTTGTCTTATTAAAGTTGTATTACGTTGTATGATAGAATGTTTTATTGCGTTAAACTACGGTGCTGTATGAAACACCAGTTATATAGCCTTATATGATAAAGTTGTGATTAACAAAATAAATTCGCTGTAATATCTGTAATATAAAACTGGTAATGTATCATATAACCTCATTTTAAATTAAATGGTATACCTAGTTATTTATTTTGTTATTGTTGTTGTTGCAAAAGTAATATCTACGTACAAGTATAATCAATCACAGCTATTATGAATTCTGGACAAAGTTGGAAAAAAGTTAACAAACGCAGTGGTAGTTATAAAGAGCATGTAAGAAAAACTCCTCGAAATTACGGCAAATAATCCCGAGAATTCCCTGGGTTCTCAAAAGCCAAAATCTCTCGGCTTCTTCAAAGCATTGTTACCACGTTGATGTAAAAGTTTTACTCTAGTAATGTTTGTATTGTTTTATTGTTCTTTTTCTTAGTCCCTAGGTATGACTATCCCTAGGTTGTCGTGCATGAATGCATTGCGTGCAAATCCATGATCATGTTTTTTTAGTTTAAATACTAATCAAATGAGATTTGGCAACATCTATTTGTCCAAATCTCAATATGTCCAAAATAGTTCTATAGTGCCTGGAAATTCTGCGTAATGATAGATATTTATCCTATACCGTTTTATTTTACAACAAAGACTTATTTAAGGGATTCATTTATAATAAAATGGTTGCATTATAATTCGCCATGTTTAAGGCAGAATTTTTGTATGGCCTATGGCCGCCATTATATGAAGCAAAATTAAAAACATCAAAATAAATTGTAAAATGTTATTTTTGAGAACTATTTTGTGATAAGATTCCCACATACAGTAATAAAGTGTTTAATTAAATTAAAATCAAGAATTTTTGAAAATTTTATTTTATTTTATTGTTTATATTTATATGTAAACCTTAATCGAAATTAAAGCGCTTTAATTTTTTGCCAAATACATACCTCTAATCTATCAGTAAAATTTTCGGCGCAACAAAAACTGTCCCTACTTTTCAAACCATATCAATGATTTTTTATATTACATATTTGTCCTTCTGGCATGTCTATTTACATATCTGTCCTTCTGGCTCTACCCGCCATTTTCATTGTCGAGTAAAGTCTCCTTTTTAACAATCCACATCCTCTAGATTCATTTTACGACACGCTTAAAATATAATTTGCTCCTAATATTCTTCGGTAAAAAATAAAATACTCTTGCACCTCGCTAATTGATCAAATGTTTTTATTGTTCTGTTTCTTAGATGTGACCACGTAATAGACAATAAAACTAGTTTTAAAATAGTCATATAACGTTGTGTAAAATAGTTGCATAAGAGTTGTATACCCTTTTTATAGAACTTCTATACTACTAAACGGTTGTATTAAAATGGGCCTTTTTTGGTTGTAAAGCTATCATATTCCGGTTATATAGCACGTTATATGAATTGAGGTATCCTATAAAAATTATCACATAGCTGTTTATACAGCCTTTATAAAATAAAATTTGCTACTTGGGCGACTATACAGCTACGTCAGTGGTCACGGGACGCGAGAACAAGGTTATTTAAAGTGGCAGAAAAAGAACAAAGGATTTGAGAAGGAGTAAAGCTACTAGTTTCCTTATACTATGGTACTACTTCAACGGCGAGTGCTAACAGCTCTCGCCACTGCATGAAATACTTTATAGCCGGCACTTAACACACTAATTTCTGCCGTGTCGAGTGCTGCGGTCGGAATTTTTATGTGTATATTTGATGCGCCAAGCCTATAGACGATGCAAATAGCAGATGTAAAATGTAAATTGTAAATAGAGAGAATAAAGAAGGGATATTTCAAGTACAGTATATTCATCCTGTGTGTTAATGTCTTTTTCCATAAATATTATAACTTCCTATACCTTTAACTATTAAAACTATGTATCTATATTAAAAAATCACATTTTCTTTTATTCTCTAAATATTTCACTACGTCTTTATGAGTTATATTATGTATATTTTTGCCTGAACAGCAGAGTAGAAATGTATTAGCAAATGTGACTTGCAATTTCATTTTTTTTGTAAGAGGGTTTGTCTATTTCACCACGTGTATTTTTTCAACCATGCATAGCCGACAGGAAGATTTTTTTGTTACATACTAATCGTAATAATAAAAAGATATTAAAAATATATTATGTTTTGCTTACTATGTATTGTTTACACATCAATTAGAATTAAAAATGTATGTAATTAATATGTAAATACTTACCCAATTTAATATCAATATTCATTGTAAAAACACTTTAATATAAACAAGATTTTTTTATTAAATATGCGTGGAACCAGTTGGTAATGGATTAATTAAAATTTTGAAGATGCCGAACATTTGGCGATACAACATACACACAACAATATACGGCTAAAATGTATTGTAAAATAATGAGATTATCGCACAGATTTTATCACTGGTACTTAGAACTTCACGACGTTCTATGAGAGATATCATTTTTTTATTCAAAATTATGTGTTATTATTGTATTATCATACAAGATTACAATAGGTATATTTTGAGGTACTAGATAATACACGGTTTCGGTGAAATAAGCCTTCGTCATTTTGTTACCTACTCTGTAATGTCCAGAAGACATTTACATGAATACGTTTAAGACAGGTTAATGTACCGTACGATCGAAAAAAAAACAGCGTCGAAGACGGCTGTTGAATGGCAACCGATAACAATTCTGGCGAGGTCAATCTCTAGGCGAGATTCACTAAAAATTGACATAAAACTTGTTTAATATTAACACTAATTATAGAAAGTTTAAAAAGTACAGATGGTAGAAAATAAATTTATAGAATAGAAAAAGAATTTAATTTCATACGATAGTTTATTATACAGGGTGGTCCAAACTGTATTCCGGAAACTTCGGCAGCATATTTTACTGGCAAAAATAAGTAAAAAAGTTCATATAAATGTATGTCCTAAAATGCTTAGTTTCGGAGATACAGGGTGTAGAAGTTTTATTTTTATTTCGATTTTTTACAAATAATTTTTGAAGTAACGTCAATCTTTGGATGGAAATTGGTGTCTGGGAGTTTTTTGACGTGACTCGATTTTGATGTCAATATGACTCCTATTTGTAGGGGGCGCCACCTACATGTGTTTTAACTGTTTTGAAGAGTAATAACTTTTCGTCCATACCTGTATAAAATTACTGAGTGAAAAAATATACATTTCCGTGATTTTCTACGTAAAAAATGTCTCTTGGTAAAAATCGTTACGAGCAACCGTTCTCAACATATTTACAATGGAAATAGTCAATACATGTCATTATTGACTAAAAATAAACATGTTGAGTAGATAGTTATTTGACTGAAATGAGAAATTTGGGAACTTTTTATTTTTTAAACTAATCATAAATTTTTCGTGAAAAAAATAAAGATAAAACAGTTTCTGTTGAACTTTTGGCACAAAAACATTTCAAATTTATGATTTTAGTCTAATAACTAATTAGTCAACATGTTTAATTTATGTCATTGATGACAGGCATTGGTAATTTCGATTCTAAATATCTCGAGAACCATTACTCGTAGCGATTTTCACCAGGAGACCTATTTTACGTAAAAAACGTCGTAAATGTATATTTTTTAACTAGCTAGTTTTATAAAGGTTCGGACGAAAAGTTATTACTCTTCAAACCAGTTAAAAAATGCGTAGGTGGCGCCCTCTACAAGTAAGAGTCGTATTGACATCAAAATTAAATTTCTCATGTCAAAATACTCCCAGACACCAATTGTCATCCAAATATTGACTTTACTTCAGAAATTATTTGGAAAAAATCGAAATAAAAATGAAATTTCTACACCCTGTATCTCGGAAACTAAACATTTTAGGACATACATTTATACGAATGCCACCACCTACATCATAGGCGTAGTCAAAACATTTATCAAAAATATAAATATCCCTTCAACTAGCTAAGTTAAGAAAAAAATATGACCACGGCACTGTTTGGTGCCATGGTAACAATTTGCTCTCGGGTGTTATTTGTCCTTGAATTCTTTAGTCATTGGTGTAGAGCGCTTTATTTCATGCGCTTGGGAAAATATAGCTCGTCTCTTTTCAATACATCCTATTGTATCTTGTACAATACATCCTATTGTATCATCTCTTTTTAATACATCCTATTGTAATTCTATCAACACATTGACTGTATTCATACATTTGAATAATTCGGCACAAAAAGCTAGAAGTCACAACCTTGCATATTATATCCTATTTCTACAAGATATACCAATTCTAGCAGCTTTTGATTTTACAATAAATAATATTATTGTCATACAATACAACAAAATAATTTTTACATGCCCAGAAGTAATGCAAGATTCTAAACCTAATATAAATTCCTTTAAATAAATACCATGAATATAGTACATTATGTATAAATTTGCATTATTAATATACTTACAAAGTTACAAATTCATTAACCATTGGGAAGTTAAGAGAGTTGGCTTAATAAAAACCCTACAGACATTATTGTACTTTAAGATAGAGTAATGCTTTGTCATCTTTTAATTTTCTGGAAAACTTTCCGAAAAGTTTGAAAAATTTAAGAAGAAAAGATTTATAAAAGTTTTACTTGTCAAGCTTCAAACTGAGAGAAATAGTAGAGAATAATAGAATTATTTAAGGGCGCCTAATAATTTAAAACTGAACGTGAAGATAAAAAGTATTAGTTTTTGAGACGTGATTGACAATGTAAAAAATTATTTTTTCCATAGCATCTGTTAAAATTGCCTTATATCCAATTATATCTATCAAAAATAGTAGATAAAATATAATATTTTAACTACAAGGGTAGATTAAATGATACTTTAACAGCGAGGATAGGTTAAAAACTTTACTTCTTCTCGCACGTTTTTTAATTGCAGTACAATTTTTGCTTTTTTTACAATTTCCCTTATAACACCTAGTAGTGTTCTTTCATTCTGAAAGAAACTGAAAATTTTCACTTAAACTGATTTATTCACTACCCCACGTTCCCTTTACGTGGTATAGGGAATAAATCAGTTTAAGTGAAAATTTTCAGTTCGTTCAGAACGAAAGAATATGTACTACTAATAATGGCTAATTTAAATTTTCCGCCAGCCAGAATATGCGATAATGTCTTACGATACACGATACGTTTTATACCTAACTCTTTCTTTTTCATATGAAGCACACATAATAAAGAAAGATAGCAATAAAGACGTACGTCATGCCATGGTCCTGCTAATTGGTTTCAAAATTGTTATTCTGAGTTGCGCTACGGGAACGCGGTCCCACTCTTTACCATGGTACCTGTCAGTCTCTTTTTATTTCTTTGTTTATGGCCTCGCCACACAAAGTATCATGTTTATTCCTAATAAAACAATATACTAGATACCTAGATCTATTTTGCAGATGTTCTACGGGTATTACTTTCCGAGATACAGCCGAGAGCTATTCGTAGTGGACCACGCTCAATAAATAAGAAAATAAAAACATGTTTGATATAACAATTTTATTTCAAATAAAACGTCATCTACAACATGTAAACGTTCATTAAAGAAATACTTCTTTCAATCAACGCAACGCCAACGGTTCAAATATAAAATTTAGTGGTATTCACCTTGCACTTCAACTCTAGAGTTATTCTTTTATATTTTAATTTTCTCGCAACTTTCCGACCAAACCAAAAAACTAAACAAAGAAAAGATGTATAAAAGTTTTCAACTTTAAATTGGAATTCTAGAGAATAGGTAAATAGTTCATAAAATACGGCCTTTTCTTAACTGATCTGGCCATAATTGAATAAAAATTCACAGCAAGTCGACAGAAACGAAACTTTTAATGAATATTAAACGCTGTACTTTATATTCTGATGAAATAGAACAGGAGAGATAATTCTATCAAATCATCTTCTATTTAATTAAGTCATGAATAGGAAGTAATTCAATAAAGGCATTACATGCATGCAGAGTCAGTTCGTCTTTGAAAATTGCGTTATGTTAAATATGAATTTGTCAAAGCACTTAATTACTTATTACACTTTTATTAATAAATTAATTAATAAACTAAAAGTAAGTCGATATACACCCACCCGCGCCGGCATCATCGGCACGAAAAACGGGCATCTTAAAATTTTCATATATTTTAAAGTTTAATATAATTTGTTTTAATGAGCCGATTTTTATGATTTTTTTTAAGTATTTGACTTTTTAGTGTCCATTATAAATGAAAGTTCCTATCTGTTAATTATACTAGGGAAAACAAAATGGTGATATTTTGGTGAAAGTTTGAAACACCTTGTGTAATATGTTGAGCGAGCAAGGAATTTAAAAATAATTTTATCATTTAGGTACATCCTTTCGCGATAGCTTGTGTTTTTGGTTCATCTCAATAGCTTTATTTTCGTTGGAGATATTCGTTCTTGAAGAAGACACGAACGACATTGCCAAATCTAGACATTAGCGATAAAATCTGCCTCTTTGCGGACGATAATACTTTCACTTGGAGCGGCCCAGATGTTCGGCACTATATAATACTATATCCACTGACTTACGCACCATTAAATCTCGGTGCGATTCTAATCTTCTCTGCCTCAACCTATCAAAAACTAAAGTTTTGTCATATAGAAGTACTTTTTAAACCTTTTTTACTTAATAACGCCACTATTGACGTCGTAGACTTTGTGAAATTCTTAGGACTTAACTCGTTAAAATGGGACTTGCCATCGAAGCTTTATCAAAGAAACTAAGCGCTGCCTGTTTTGCGCTAATATCAGTTTCTAAGGAACTTAACTTATCAACCTCTAGAATAGTTTATTATGTCTTTTTTGAGTCGCATCTTCGTTATGCCCTTCCATTCTGGGCTACTTGCTGCGCGACAAAATTTGATCGTATTTTCAACCTTCAAAAGAGAGCAGTTCGATATTTATTGGGACTGAACAAGCACATATCTCCTATTCCCGAAAGGCCATTTCACAACTATCTACTTAAGAATGCACGATCTTTATCTGCCAACCCCGAATTCAGAACTAGTTAAAGGCTCAATACCGTACAATGCAAAAAAAAGTACAATCATCTGCTTTTGATTATCAAGTCGATTTCATTCTTTGCCGCATTTCGCAAAGCTCTGAAATCATACTTACTGGAGAGAGCCCTATATGCGGTAACCGACTTTTTTGTAGATGTTTACTCATGAACAATTTTGAATTTTAAAATTTTGATGATCTCACACACTGGTTAAGTTATTTAATATTTTATGACTCTTAAATGATTATATCCATTTACAATTTTCCTATTTGAAAATTTTATTGATACTACTTTTTTTGTGTTTTGCAATGTAAATATGTTAATGTAGTGATTTTAATGACGTAATATTTTTTGAATTCTATGATATTTTTTTGTACTTTTGTTTGTTTTGTATATACTTT